TTATCGAAGCAAAGACGAGCAAAATATCGTTCGCTCTGATCCAGGAACCATATATCGGCCGGATCGGAGAAATGAAGAATTACCCAGGGACTAAAATAGTGCAATGTCACAGAAAAGGGAATACAGAAAAAGTAATAAAGGCGGCCATTGTACTATTTGACGACACCATTGGCATAACCCAGTGCCCCGACTTGACAACTGAGAACATCGCCGTATGCCAAATTAAGGACAGGGGCCTGGGAAGTGGGAGTGGTGTCCGTCTACCTGGAGGGAGAAAAACCAGTGGAACCTTACCTGGACATAATCAAAACGGCCGTAGCAGGCCTAGGAACTGGGAACGTGATTCTCGGTGGGGATATAAATGCTTGGAATACTTGGTGGGGAAGCCAGAAGGTGGACAAGAGAGGAATTGAGGTAGCTGCCATGCTCGATGAGATGGAGTTCCATATATTAAACAGAGGAACTGTCCCCACATTCGACACCTATAGAGGCGGGAAAAGATTCTCCAGCTGTGTGGATGTTACGACCTGCTCGACAAGCCTACTCGGAAGAATAGATAACTGGAGATTATCTGAAGAAGCAACCAGTTCGGACCACAAGGCAATCCTGTTCGATATAAATCTAGTAAAATCCATTAGAACAGAAATAAAAAAGAATAACAAGACTATTCAATACAAAGAAGGCAAACTGGAATGAGTTTCGTGGGAAACTTACCCAGATTTGGCAAGAAAAGGAAATAAATAACATTCAAATAAACAAAATAGAAAATAAGGAGGAACTTGAAGGAAAAGTAAGAGAAATAACCGAAACAATTCTTGAGGTATGTGAACAAAGCATACCTAAAATTAAAAGTAGAAGACGAATGGGATTGCCTTGGTGGACTGAAGAATTAACCCAAAGAAAAAAGGAAGTCTCCAGGTTAAAACGCCGAATTTCTTGTGCAGCACCAGTTCGGCGAGAGTGGGTCGTCGAGCAGTATATGAAAGTTAAAGAGGAATACCAGCAGCAAGTTAAGAACGCACAAACCTCCAGCTGGAAGGATTTCTGCAATAAGCAGGATAGGGAGTCTATGTGGGACGGGATCTACCGAGTAATAGGTCGTACAATGCAAAGACAGGAGGATATCCCTCTTGTACATAATGGAAAAACTCTAGAAGACCTAGAATCAGCAAAAATCCTGGCGGAGACCTTTTATCCGGATGATAAAACTCAGGATGACGACGCGGAACACAGGCTAAAGAGGAAATTAGCAGAAGTGGTAAACGAAGGACCACTTGATGATTCAAGTGATCCACCCTTTACGGAGGAGGAATTGAAGTGGTCCGCGTCAAGTTTTAATCCCAAGAAGGCTCCAGGAAATGATGGACTTACCTCAGACATCTGCATGGCGGCTATCTCTCTGGACCCTACGCTGTTCCTGGCACTGGCCAACAAATGTCTGCAATTGGCACACTTCCCCAGTAAATGGAAAGAGGCGACAGTGGTAGTATTACGAAAGCCCGGTAAAGAAGACTACACGCATCCCAAATCCTACAGGCCGATTGGGCTATTGCCAGTTCTAGGGAAAGTACTAGAAAAAATGATTGTACGAAGAATCAAGTGGCACATCGTACCTAAAATAAGCAAAAATCAATACGGATTTATGCCACAGCGTAGCACCGAGGACTCCCTCTATGACATGACACAGTATATTAAATCCAAAATTAAAGACAAGAAATTGGTAGTACTTGTGTCACTGGACATAGAGGGGGCCTTTGACAACGCATGGTGGCCAGCTATACGATGTGCACTTGCAGAGACCGGATGCCCAACGAACTTGAGGCGATTAATTGACAGTTATCTCGAGGATAGGTCAATTCGTGTCAAGTACTCGGGGGCAGAATGGATCAAAAAGACCACCAAGGGATGCGTGCAGGGCTCAATAAGCGGTCCAATATTCTGGAATCTCCTGCTTGACCCACTTCTGCAAGAGCTAAACGGTAAAGGGGAATACTGCCAGGCTTTTGCGGATGATATAGTCCTAATTTTCTCTGGAGACAAGGCACTGGAAGTGCAGGAACAAGCCAATGCAGCCCTTGCACATGTTCAGAAGTGGGGGATCAAAAATAAGCTCAAATTTGCTCCGCAAAAAACAAAAGCGATGATAATTACTAATAAGATCAAGTATGACTCACCACTTCTGAAGATGGGCCTGGAAAGCATTGGACTGTTCAAAGAAATAAAAATACTCGGCCTCACAGTAGACAGCGGGTTGACCTTCAACACGCACGTTAAGAATGTGTGCTGTAAGGTGCAAAACCTGTATCGTCAGCTGTGTAGAGCCGCAAAGGTTCATTGGGGCCTAAACTCCGAGATTATTAGGACTATATACATAGCGGTAGTAGAGCCGATTATATTGTACGCGGCAAGTGCTTGGGCACCAGCAGTAAATAAAAGAATGATTAAAAAACAATTTGACACGGTGCAACGCGGGTTCGTGCAAAAGATTATTAAGTCGTATAGAACGGTTTCTCTACACTCGGCTCTGCTACTCGCCGGGCTGCTTCCTTTGGACTTGAGGGTCCGGGAAGCAGCCCTTCTTTATGAAATAAAGAGAGGCTTTTCCCGGCGAGTGGTAGAAGATCGAGATATGGAGAGAAAAATAGAATTTATAAAGATACCACACCCCGCAGACGAATATGGCCTGCAATACACATGCCTGGGGGACGGGGCAGAGATGGACCAACATGACTACAAAGGCCTCAAAATTTACACTGACGGCAGTAAGATCGAGGGGAAAGTCGGCGCTGCATTATCCATTTGGAATGATGCAGTGGAGACGAGTAGCCGAAAACTAAAGTTGGAAAATTTCTGCACCGTTTTCCAGGCTGAATTGCTCGCCATTCGAGAAGCAACCAGGTACGCGTTATATCATCCGGCACAAAGCTGTCATATATACAGCGACTCAATGTCTGCTCTCCAGACAGTAGTACAAGGCGTTTCCCTCCATCCCCTAGCAGCAGAGACCAGGACGAACATCAGTCAAATAAACAAACAAGGGAAATCCCTCAAACTATTTTGGATTAAAGCTCACGCAGGATTGGAGGGAAACGAGAGAGCAGACGAACTAGCTAAAGAAGCCGCCCTTAAAATAAAAAGAAGGCCAGACTACGATAAGTGTCCGGTTTCATTCGTTAAGCGACAGATTCGACTGGATTCGCTTGACGAATGGAACCGAAGATACATTGAAGGAGAAACAGCCTCCACTACCAAATGGTTTTTCCCCAATGTTATCAATGCCTATCCTGTAATAAGGAACATAGATATGGATCCGCAAATTGTACAGTTGATGACAGGACATGGTGGGTTTTCTGAATATCTATATCGGTTTAAATGTAAAGAGAGCCCATCATGCGCCTGTGAGCCAACAATAGAGGAGACAGTCATCCACCTAATAACGGAATGCCCTATATACTGTAGAGAAAGAGTAGATTTAGAACTAGAGATAGAAATTAAAATAATCAAAGAAAATTTATATAAAATAATTAGTAATAAATATGTAAGAAAAAAGTTTTTAAGGTATTGTAAGAATATGTACATAAGGTAGTAAATAAGAATAAATAATAGTAGTAATAAGGGAAAACTGAATCATAATATATACAAATATATAATGTTAACAGCCCACAAAACAAGTAAAAATAATAAATAGAAAAGTAATATATGTACTTAGAATTAAGTAGATAATAAAAAAGAAATAAAGAGAAAAGAAATAAAACCAAAAGAATAAAAGAATAAAAATAATAAAAAGAAAACAAAGTAAAAGATTAAAAAAGTCCCTGAGTTCACATGTCAGGGGAACAAGTAAAAAAAAAAAAAAAAAAAAAAAAAAAAAAAAAAAAACCTAACCTAACCTAACCGAACTATAAATTCGCTAATAACTTTCCCAAAAATTGGTATTTTTCGTTCAAATCTTCTTTAAATTGTGTAGTTAATTGCTCCCCACTTTTTTCCTTATGTTTTCTCAGTAAATTCGTAACGTTATATATTTAATTTTCATATTTTCAGTCTATTTCTTACTTAAATTCATCAATAAAAACACGTATTCATCTATAGCACGGCTGAAAATTGGCCTTTTCCTTTTAAATTTTCTATTTAAATAGTGTAACTAACTGCCCCCCGTAATCCTATATAGTTTTCTTGGTTAATTCCTAACATTATATATATAATTTTCATATTTTCAGTCTATTTCTTACTTAAATTCATCAATAAAAACACGTATTCATCTATAGCACGGCTGAAAATTGGCCTTTTCCTTTTAAATTTTCTATTTAAATAGTGTAACTAACTGCCCCCCCGTAATCCTATATAGTTTTCTTGGTTAATTCCTAACGTTATATATATAATTTTCATATTTTCAGTCTCTTATTTACGTGAATTCATCAATAAAAACACGTATTCATCTATAATTCGGCTGAAAAGCGGCCTTTTCCGTTTAAATTTTCTTTGTTAATAGTGTATTTAACCGCCCCCCGTATTTATCCATAGCTTTTATAATTAATTTCTACCGCTAAAATATTGATTTCCACATAATTCGTTTTCCCATAATCCTAATTTCCTAAAATATTTAAAATTCTTCAAATCTTCATTTATTTCGCTCTTTTTGCTTTTATTAGGTCCGTCTAGAGGTGTGTAGAAACTACCATCTGCACTCTTATTTGCTTTATAAAACATATAGAACTGGAAAAAAAATCGCCTCCCCACCCTCCCTGTTTGTCTTATTTAAGTAGGCCTGCAGGAATCTGTCGATTTTTATTTATATCGATTTTTTTTTAAGAACATCGATTTTTTTTATATCTTTTTTTATTATTTATTAAGCCCGTAAATAAAAACAATTAGTTTAGACAAAAATCGACTCCCCACCCTCCCGGTTATTTATTACTTAAGTAAACTTACATATAATAAATGTCAAATCTACACAATACTTCTACTACTTCGGAGGCTCTTACTAATCTAGGCTAGATTTGATTGAAGAGTTGACTCTACCTGAAAATCCAACAAACGTTACACAAGACGAATTTGAAAAGGCACGATCCGACTCTATTCCAGAGCTTAATGATGGGTTTTTGATAAATATTAGTGAACACACGAAATTGATCCTACAAAATTTGGATGGTAATAGAAGTGTAACTCGCACCAACAAAGATAACATCAAAAAATCTCTTGACGAAATTAAACGAAGTACGCAACAATTGTACGACCAAGTAAAAACGATATTACGTCATTCAATCTCATCAGCCGAAAATAAAACAGTTTCATTAATCAGGAATACTATTAGGGAAGAGTTCTCTAAGTTAGCGGTACTACCACAAAAAATTACCACTCAGCCACTGCAAGATCTGGTCAAACCTTCTATCATTCCATCATCACTACCATCCTACGCCAAAGTTGTTAAATCGACAAAATCTGCTGAGAAACAACCTATACCGGTTACCAAGCCGGCCATAATAGTTAGCTCTAAACAGCAAGTCTCTTCCTCTAAAGAAACCGTAAACGCGTGGCGTAATAGCATTCATTTCAAAAAATACACCTTCAACCCCTCTGAAGTAAAGCTGGTGTCCAACCACAAAATTAGGGTTGAGTTTGATAATCAAGAACAGCGTGACGAAATCCTTAACGCCATAAACCATCCTGACAGCCTTGTTAACGCTGACATAGCCAAGAAGCTCAAGCCTTTGGTAATTCTAAAAGGCATCTACAGGGACACACCTGTGAGTGAGCTTAAAGAAATAATTGTAAACCAAAATCCAAATATAAAAAGCCTCATTAAATCACCCGACGGCATAACCTACCGATTTACGCGAAAAAACAAAAACGAAAATTTATATAACGCTGTGTTTATGGTTACTCCCACAATCTGGAGATCAATTGTGGAACTTCAAAGAATAAACGTCGATCACCAACGTGTACATACTGAAGACTACCCAGCTTACCTCCAGTGCTATAAGTGTATGCAGTTTGGTCACACAAAGAAACACTGCACCGAAAATACAACAATTTGTTCCCATTGCTCATCATCAGAACACTCGTATAAAGACTGCCCGGTTAAAAAAGATTCAACTAAAGTTGACTGCTATAACTGTTCTTCGCATTGTAAGAAATATAATTTAAATATTAATACTAAACACAGTGCTACTTCGCTACGTTGCCCCCGCTTACAAAAACAAATAGAAATCTGCAAAAATAGAACCGACTATGGCTATTAACAACGGAAATAAAACAAATCCAAAAAATCACCTTCCTTTAAAATGCTTACAAATTAACACTGACAAAGGGTATGTAGCGATGCATGAAATGATTAAATATATAAATGACAACAAATATGATATAGTGTTTAACAGCGAACCCTATGTTGGAAAAGACAACGTAATGAAGTCTATCCCTAACTATAATATATATCAATACCCCACAGCGCACCGAGTAAAAGCATGCCTACTCGTAAGGGGGACTATAGGCTGCACACTGGGTATTTCGGAATACTCTACTTCCAATCTTTGTATTGTTAAAGTAGACATTGGCGGTAAAAAACTATTTCTAATTAGTGTATACATTGAACCCAAGAAGGATGAAATTAATACAATGAACAGTCTAGAAATATTTCTGCAGAAACATACAAATCACACTAACATCATTTGTGGTGACTTTAACGGATGGCACCCCATGTGGAGCTCGATTAGATCCAACCGCCGCGGAAATATGGTAGTAGATCTTATAACTACTAATAATCTTATTCTATGTAATTCAGGTAACGTTCCTACATATGAAACGGTTACACATAAAACCCATCGCGAATCTATAATTGACCTCACAATGACATCTGATTCTCTATCGAACAAAATTTCCAACTGGAAAGTTGTACTAGACGCCGTCCCATCATCCAATCATAATGCTATCACTTTTGATTTGTCTTTAAGTAACAACTTGTTAAGCAAACCTAAAAAACTTTCAACATTTAAATACAATACTCAGAATATAAAATGGGATGAAATTACAGAACAGTTTAAATGCGAGTTAGCCAAATATTTAGACCTCAATATTAATGTAGATAATTTAAGCACCTCCCAGTTAGATAAATACATTACAAAATTAGTCACAGCAGTACAAAAGGTTAGCGACAAAATCTTTCCGAGAAAATCGTCTAAAGTAACAAATCGAGCACCTTGGTGGAACGATAAATTAGAAAATCTCAAGCAAAAAGTTATAAAAAATCACCACAAAATTCAACAAATGAAACGCAGTAAAAAACCGTTAACCGAATTGTTGCTAGAAAAAGAAAACTTAAGAAATGAATATGCTCAAGCAATTAGAATTGCTTCAACTGAGCATTTGAGGGAGTTTTGCAATAAGCAGGGAAAGGAGGATGTATGGAGTATAACCAATCGGTTACTTAAGACCACACCTTTGAAGCAGCCTCCCTCAACTCTTAAAACAAGAGCGGGTAAATACACAAAAACAACATACGAAACTGCTGAAACGTTTTTAAATGAATATTTTCCTGATGATGGACCCGATACATGCTTAAGGCACATGCAGCTCCGTAATTCTTCTAACGAAACACCCGACACGCCAGCAGATGCTCCATTTACTGTAGTAGAAGTACTTGAGTCATTGAAATCCTTGAACCCCAAAAAGTCACCTGGTCTAGACCACCTCACATCGGATATATGTTTTAAATTTGCTGAAACTTTCCCTATTACAATCACTCAAATAATGAACAGATGCCTGCAACTCGGCCACTTTCCAAAGGACTGGAAGGTCGCATATATAAAAATTATCCCAAAACACAATCAAACCGAACTTAATACCGCTTCATATAGTACACTGATAGGGTGGACTCATTAATGTATTTGGAAAGGCTTTAGAAAAATTAATTACTAAAAGACTTACATATTTCTTACACACAACTAATGCAACTAGTAATTTACAATTCGGTTTCAAAGAGCAAACTTCAACAACGGCTGCTATCCAAAAAGCACTTGAAGTTATACAAAATGTTAGATTGCAAAATCATCAAGTGTTGGCAATCTCACTCGATATACAGGCGGCTTTTGACAATGCCTGGTGGCCAGCACTGTTTCATAGGCTTCACACTATTAAATGTCCTAGCAACTTATATAATCTTCTTAAAAATTACCTCCAACACCGTGTAGTCAAACTTGATTTTGCGGATAGTTCAGCTACCAAGTATATGTCTCGGGGATGCGTTCAGGGTTCAGTTTGCGGTCCAATGCTATGGAACCTGATACTTGATGAGCTCTTAACATCTGAGCTACCCAATGGATGTCATCTCCAAGCCTTCGCAGATGATCTCTTATTAATAGTGTCTTCAAAAGATACCCAAAATCTTGAAACTACAACTAACGAAGCTCTTTCCAAAATTGTATCGTGGGGAAACTCAGTCAAACTAAGATTTAATCCTAATAAAACCCAAATGATATCATTTACCAATAAAGCTCGCAAATGTGAAATAGTTATGAACAGTCTACCATTGCAATTCTTCCGCCAAATAAAGTATTTAGGGGTCATTATAGACCAAAAATTAAATTTCATAAAGCATGCAGAACATACAATACACAAATCGTACAATCTATTTCAAAAATTAGTCAAATATATAAAACCTACTTGGGGAGTAAATTCAGAAAATGTGCATACCATATATCTTGCAGTAATAGAACCTATTGTTTGCTATGCATCAAGTATTTGGAGTTCTGCTCTAAAATATAAGTATATAGAAAAACGGTCACTTTCTCTCCAACGCAATTTCGCCATTAAAATCATAAGAGGATTTCGAACAACAAGCACGGCAACTGCAATCTCTCTGGCAAAACTTTATCCATTACAAGCTAAAATAAAAACGTGTGCAGATTTAGAAATAACGAAGCGATGTAAAACCTCCATATATCTTCCTAAAGATATAGAACTCGAAACACCAGTGATACCTGCAGAACTTCTACACCCTTGCCAAAGAAAAACAATCCAATTTCAGGAAGCTTCAAACCAACAGGATATAAATCAATACTCCGATACAGCAACATCAAGTATATTTACAGATGGAAGCAAGACTGATAAAGGTGTAGGAGCTGCTTTTGTTGTTATTCACTCTGATGGTCAAAACGTCGTTAAGAAATATAAACTGCATGACGCTTGTTCTGTATACCAAGCTGAACTTTTTGCAATTTTAAAAGCAAGTGAATGGATTCTGAACAGTAAACTTATAAAATTTTCAATATTTTTCGATAGCAAGTCAAGCCTCTTAGAGTTAAATAACCCAAACACCACGAACCCATTAGCAGTAGCAATACACCGCAACGTTACTAATATAGAAACAAGAAATAAATCAGTAAGATTCATCTGGACGAAAGCCCATAATGGTGTAACCGGGAATGAATTAGCGGACTCGGCAGCCAAATCAGCAACGAACTTAAAGAAAGCCCCCGATTATTCCAAATTTCCTATCAGCTGCATAAAACAAATACATCGTAAGATTTTACAAACTGCGAGTGAAGATTATTACAATAACATAGTTAACTGCACGTATACCAAAACGTGGTGCCCTACATACGAAGAACTCCACAAAGTTTTAGAAAAAATCAAACCTGACTTTAATTTTAAGCAAATTCTAAGTAATCACGGGTTTCACAAATGCTACCTATATAGGTTCAAAATAAGCCCAAATGATTGTTGCTCGTGTGACGGAAGCACATCTCAAACTGTTATCCAGCTCATTAAAGAATACCCAAAATTTAACAACACTAGAATAGACCATGAAATTATCTGCAATAACTTAAAAATAAAGCCATACGAATTAACAGACATAGTTAAAAAATACACAACTATAGAAACGTTTACTAAACACATAAACAAAATAGTTAAATCATTAAAAAAATATAATAATTAACAAAATATATCAAAAGGAAAAAAAGACTGCCAAACTAATATCTAAAAAACTAAATAATTAAAGAGATCCAATCTCCATAATGCAACTTGTATCCCGATAGCATAATACATTATGTAAGAAAACTTAACAGTCTCTAAAAAAAAAAAAAAAAAAAATCAAAGTGACATATAAATAGCCGGAGAAATGGGAGTGGAATGCTGTGAAAAAGTTTTTGAGTGTGCAGTTCAGCAGTGTAATTGGGGAGAACTCTGTGCATTGGATGGTTTAGGAGCAGTAGCCTCTTAACTTTGTGGATAAATAGTGTCGACACCATCAGCAAAATTGCCAAGTACTCATCAGTACTTGAGAGCCGTTATAGAGATCAGTAAAACGGCGAAAGAATCAAGAAAATCGGCCCACAAACACAGAAGTTATTGACTCCTTAAAATTAACTTACCTCAAACCACGTGGTTGCAACGTGCTTTCAGACGTTGAGGTTAAAGCGAGTCAGTGAACACGAGGCGTCCGGCGACGGTGCAGACTTCAGTGGAGCCTTCGAAGACGGACCGAGGAATCCCTTAAGCATACAATCGCCGCAGCTGGAGACACTTTCAACGGCCATCAGGTAAACCCCGAGGGAACTCCTAGACCCCTTACTCCTGACCACCCGAGTTTGGACTCATTTGAGTCAGTTTCTCAAGACCCCACCACACATATCACCTCCCCCCCATATAACAACCCCTACCCTTGAACCCCCCCCCCACCTTTAACACCCTCTTTCACCCTTCCTACCCTCCTAACCCCTACAATCTTTAATTTTATACCAGATATACGCTCCTTACGAATTCCGCCTACCCCCCCACCCCCCAACTACCTACGCCCCCCTCATTTTTTATTATACCATATATAAGCTTCCCGCGAATTTACCCCCCCCCCTCTTCCCCTCGCCCCTCGAGGCTTACCTCTCCCCCGCGAGCCATAACTAGTTTACCAGAGGAGCTAGACACCCCGTGTAAGGGCTCATTTAAATCAGGAAAAAGAGCTCTACCTTCTGGCCCCTACATAATTTTGATTTTCCACCATAGTCCGATACCAACCCGGACAATAACACCTCAAGCATACTCCAGGACTCACAGCATACCAACCGGAGATCCCACAACGGGCTCTTTCTTCGCGTCCATCGTACTCTTCACTGCAATTCAACCATCGAAGAACACCAGCAGTGAGTTCACAAAAAAAAAATTATAATAAATATCATCAAATATTAAAAAATATATAATACTTGTATAATATTTTATAAGGCATTACCTATATTTATAGCTACTAAGGCAACTTACAATTAGAGAATCTTTTAATTTTTGTAATTATGTCAGGAAATAAAGTAATCATGTCGGATGTGGAGACTGCTTCTTCAATCAAGTCCTCCCAAAACCTTTCTGTTGCTCCACCTAGACCTCCACGATCGCTGCGGGAAAAAGTACTTACAAAATCCAGTTTATCAAAAGCAACACCTAGGGAGAAGTTGTCGCAGCCATCATCTCATCCCGCAACAGGAAAACGTCCAGCGGACTCTGCTCCGACAGACGCATCTACAACAAGAAAAAATGCCTCTTCGCACACCCCCACTCTGGGAACTAAAATGTCGCAAACTTCAGTTAAAAGCGACAGCTCGATCCGATCCTCCGTTTGTAACCCGGTAGATGCGGCTATCGACAAAGTAGCTAACTGGAAGCAGGAAGAAATTCCTCCACTTCCAGTTTTATCCGACGAAGAACTTTCGATCACATCTGCGCCGGAATCACCACTATCGGAGGCACCGGAAAAAGGAAAACCCAGCCTGCTTTTTAACTCCAACAGGCGACTGGGGGTGGAAATGGATATGGCAACAAAAGAAGCGAACGAAATGCTTCTGAGAGGGAAAGAAGCGCTAGAAATGGCAGGGAATATGAAGAGGGAGTGTAAGTTAACAGCTTTAGAGAGTCTGCAGTCCCTCTACGAGATGGTCCTGGCGCTGTCAGATTCCAGATCTAGACATAAGCATAATCTAGAAAGGGAACGCTCACGCAACGCTCAAGAACTAATGCGAGTGGAGCGCGCCCATAACAAGATCATCACCCAGCTTATGAAGGAAATGGCTTCCGAACTAGGCCATGCCAGGACAGATATAAAAAATACCCTCCAGGAATCCAAGGCGATACGGGGTTGGTTGAACTTCGAAACCCAAGAGCCCTTCCGCAAAACGAGTGACCTACTCAAAGCTGTGACGGACTTAGACAAGCGCATAGGTGTGATCCAGTCGAACTTGAGTCAGCAGAAGCAAGAAGGTGCAGACAACATTTTATCTCACCTAAGAGTGGACCTTACTGGAGTAAAATCTAGTGTGGAAACACTCAAACTTCAATTGGACGAAATGCGCAGAGTCATCGAAAAGTCCGAAAACAACACCAAGAAGGTTCTGGAGACCGGCCAAAAAACGCCTGCTACGCCTGGAGTCACCACCATCCCACCCCTCAGAGGAAATAAGTAAAACGTTGGAACATGAGCTGAATGGAATGAAGAGTTCGCTGAAGGAGATAGATACAAGTATCAGATCTGGACTTTCAATCTTACCTTCAGCGGACTCCAGTAAAATATTCCAAACCAGCATAAGGGAACATCTTCAACCAATAGAAGAACACTTAGGTGCAATGTCATCCGAGCTGAGGACGATGAGAGAGCAGAAGCAACGGGCCCCATCACCTACAGCCCCAAGTCTAGCAACAGAGCTTGCACAAACTGGCGAAGCAGCAACAAAGCCAAAAAAGACATACGCCAGAGTGGCTGCAAGCCCTCCCCTTCCTAAACCCAATCACACTCTCATTATCACATCAACTGATTCGAAAAACACAGCCGAAAATATCATCGAGAGAATCAGGGAGGCTCTAGACACAAAAAACACTGGAGCCAAAGTAGATAGGGTAAGGAAGGCGAAAAACCAAAAAGTCGTCCTCTGTTGCAACACCAAGGAGGATCTTAACCTTGTCCAAAATAGAGTTAAGACAAATAAAAGTTTAAAAGTAGAGGTTGCCAGAACAAACAATCCCTTGGCGATAATCAGGGACGTGCTATCGTATCACACAGACGTCGAAATCGTGGAAAATATACTGGCGCAGAACAAACACCTTCTGCATGACGTCGATGAGAAAGAACGAACAGTCAGAGTTCGATACAGGAAAAAGGCGAGGAATCCACAAGAGTGCCATCCTGTACTTGAGCTCTCTCCAAAAGTGCACAGGCGCTTCATTGATGCGGGTAAAATTTACATCGGCCTCCAAAGAAGACTGCAATGCACAAACTACCCTGTGCAATGCACAAAATGCCTCGGTTTTGGCCATACAAAAGCAGTGTGCCATGAAAAGGAGGAACTCTGCAGTCACTGCGGAGAGACCCATTCATGGGACAAATGCCCGATCAGACTGGAGGGGAGACCCCCCCGATGTAAAAATTGCCTCAAAGCGCACGGTGCCGATACGGACTTGGCACACAATGCTTTTAGCTTTGATTGCAGGGAAAAGCAGAAGTGGGATGCAATAGCACGGTCCCGCATATCTTACTGCTAAGGGCAACCAAAATAATATAAACTCCAACATTAGTAGGTCAGACCTCAAAATCATTCAGGTGAACTTGCAACGCTCCAGGGTAGCAACGGCGGAACTACTTCAGGTTGCATCGAATAAAGGAGTGTCGATTGCCATAGTACAGGAACCCTATGTGGGAAAAAATGGCGTTATTAAAGAACATCCTGGCACGCGAGTAGTTCAATGCAGCCTGAATAGACAAAAACCGGTAAAGGCCGCAGTGCTGATCTTCGGAGATCAGCTGGAGATTATCCATGATCCACAGCTGGTTACCGAAACAGAAGCGGCAGTACTTCTCGTTGCAGGAAATTTAAAACTGGGAGTCGTGTCAGTTTACCTCGAGGGAGAGCAAGATATAAATCCCTACCTTAGGCGAATCCAAGCAGCTTGCGCAAAACTTCACACAAACAACATCATAGTGGCTGGAGACATAAATGCTTGGAGCCAATGGTGGGGAAGTAATTCCGAAGATGAAAGAGGCGCGGCATATAACACCTTCCTCAATTAAATGGATCTCCATATTCTGAACACGGGTGACACGCCTACCTTCGAAACATACAGAAGGGGGAGAATTTGTTCGAGCATAGTAGACGTCACTGCTTGCAGTTCGTCACTTCTCGGCAATGTGGAGGACTGGAGAGTGGAGAGAAGCCTAATTACATCAGACCACAACGCGATTATGTTTACACTGCGCACCAAAGAGGTCTTGATACAATTACGGCCCTGCAAAACGCGCAAATACAACACCAGAAAGGCAAACTGGTCGGACTTCTCAACACGCTTTAGATCCCTTCTAAAAGAAAGAGCCATAACTCCCACACTAATTGAGGAGGCGGAAATCCATGACGATCTGGAATCCATCACAATAGCCTACACAAAAGCAATCCAGGAATCTTGTGATGAGACTATTCCGAAAATGGGCATGAGGGGGGTGAATGCAACGCCCCCATGGTGGTCAAAATCCCTCAACCAACTCAAAAAAGAAGTCCATAGGAAAAAAGACGTATTAGAAATGCGGCACCAAGTCGAAGACAACACGTAATAGACGAATACATAAGTTTTAAACCATGTTGAGGAGGGAGAAAGTGGAGGAATTCTGCAGAAAGGAAAGGGAGAGATGTGTAAAATTAGAGTAGGAAATAGAGATTGAGGACATGCTTAGAAACATAGGGGAAACTCTGCAAAATGTCTTGGCCCAAACATTTTACCCTGACGACTGTGTGGACACAGATCAGCCATACCACACCAAAATACGAGAGCTGACGGAAATTAACAAAGACCTAGGTTTGTCAGAAGAGGACCCACCTTTTGCAGAAGCGGAGCTTGAATCAGTATTACAAACACTAAATCCCAAAAAGGCCCCTGGACCAGACGCGCTAACAGATGACATCTGCTCCGCTGCAATAAACTGCAACAGGAAGGTATTCTTAGCGATAACCAACAAGTGCTTGAAATTGGCGTACTTTCCCAAGCAGTGGAAAACTGCACATGAGGTCATCATCCGTAAGCCAGGAAAGGATGACTATACACATCCAAAGTCATACCGACCAATAGGTCTCCTGTCAGTACTCGGAAAAATAGTCGAGAAGTTGATGGTGGGCCGACTCCAGTGGTACATCCTCCCAACCCTTAATAAAAACCAGTATGGGTTCATGCCTCAACGTGGTATAGAGGACGCCCTCTATGATCTATTGAAATACATCAAAAACGAAGCGAGGAATAAGAAGATCGTCCTTGTTGTTTCATTAGATATAGAGGGAGCCTTTGACAACGCATGGTGGCCAGCATTAAAACTGCAACTAGCCAAAAAGAAATGTCCCAAAAACCTCTACGATATGGTTGGCTCTTACCTTCAAGATCAAAAAATCGTAATTAACTATGCCAGAGCAACGAGTGAGAGGGGAACTACGAAGGGCTGTGTTCAAGGATCTATCGGTGGACCAACCTTTTGGAATGTTATCCTAGACTCACTGCTGCACCAACTTACGAACGAAGGGGTGTATTGTCAGGCATTTGCAGATGACGTCGTCTTGGTGTTCTCGAGTCACTCAACGAGTGCCCTGGAGCAACAGGCCAATGACACTCTAAAAAGAGTAAAGAAGTGGGGAACCCAGAACAAGCTAAAGTTTGCAGCGCATAAAACAAATGCAATGCTTGTCACTAAAAAACTTAAATTTGACCTCCTCAACCTGCAAATGTCCGGCAGCAGAGTAAACCTCGTAGAGGAAATTAAAGTACTCGGTCTCATCATTGACCGTGGACTCACCTTTAAACCGCATGTAGCAGCCGTATGTAAAAAAGCGGCTGACATATACAAACAGCTTGCATGCGCGGCCAAGGTGACCTGGGGTCTCAATGGTGAGATTGTAAGGACAATATACGTTGCAGTCGTCGAACCTATAGTAATGTACGCTTCGAGCGCGTGGTCCTCAGCAACAGAACTTCAGATGATCAAAGACCTAACACGTTGCAAAGGGGCTTCGCGAGGGTAGCGTACCGCACGGTATCGCTCACTTCCGCGTTTGCCATCTCGGGTCTGCTTCCGTTAGACCTGAGAATAAAAGAAGCGTCCAGCTTGTACCAAACCAGGAAACAAGGCACACTGGACTATTTACCACCAGGAAGAGAGCTTGAAAACCGTGTAAATCACTTGGATCAACCTCGTCCCTCTAAACTCGTCAAATTGGAATATGAGCTACTGGAAACAATCGGAAACACAAACCTCCACCAACTAACCGGCCCTCACATATACACCGATGGAAGTAAGATAGAAGGGAGGGTCGGAGCAGCTTTAACGTGGTGGGAAGATGGTAGGGAGATCAGTAGTTCCACCTTTAGACTGGATCCATCCTGTACAGTCTTCCAATCCGAGCTCTATACCTTGCTCAGGGCGACCAAACTAGCTGAATCGAGCACTAAACCTGTTGTTAACATTATGAGTGACTCAAGATCTTCGCTCGATCTGCTGGCAAACCCTAAAGCAAGCCACCCCCTATCAAAGGCCATTCAAGAAAGCATAGGGAAGATGAGAAAAGAGGGAAGAGTGATACGGCTGTTTTGGTTGAGGGCTCATGTAGGCACGTCTGGAAATGAGAGAGCTGATGAGCTTGCCAAGGCGGCGGCACTCAGGGAGACAGCCACTCCAGACTACGACAAAATCCCCATGTCCTACGTTAAAAAGAAAATCAGAGAGGAAACCGTTCGAATCTGGCAGGACAGATACGAGACCTCGACCACTGGGCAAGTCACCAAAATATTCCTACCGGATGTTGCAATAGCATACCGGATAGTGAGAAAGACGAAGTTGACACCCACACAGGTACAAGTGTTAACAGGACATGGTGGAATTGCGGAGTACTTGCACCGCTTTAAGCTTAAGGATACACCAGGGTGCGAGTGCGATCCCAATGTCAGTGAGTCAGTGATTGGCATGTGATTCTGGAGTGTCCCCGCTATCAGGCGGTACGAAGAAAAAAGACGAAGAAAAAAGGCCCAAATTTCTGGCATTCGTGGAGTCCATCTTTTGCGCTGCTGCAAAGCGTAACGCCACGTACTATCCATTCCCCAGACAGCTGCAAACTGTTGCGGAATTCGCAGAGGTCTCCGTAAAGGAGAAGAGCATCCCAGCCAATAAAGCAGACCATCAGCTATTTGCATGCGCTGAAAGAGGTAACCCAGGCCTGAGAATTCGAGGAGTAGCTCTCTTCATGGATAACAACACAGAGCGTTTCGGCTTAAGTTTTTGCTTAACAACTGGCCGAAACTATGTCAAAATATCTCCCGGTCTCGCAAGCTTACTAAACGGCAGTACTCTCAAAACGAGCATGAAGCGCAAAACATATGAGGCGCTAGTTGAAATAGAGCTAGTTGAATAGCAAAGCAACGATGTCGAATAGTAAGATCGAAAAAC